CCGCACAAATCCCAAAGTCCTTCTATAACTATCTTTAGAATATAGAAATCATTCCATTCCTTACTTAAGCTGCTATTGCTTCGGACACGTTCAAAGCTGTATGGACAGGACCTTCTCAGTCAACAGAGTCGTCATAGATGTATATGTAGACATCGTATATGCTTGTGAAGTTTGTATGATGAGAGATTTGTTAATATAATAATCGTCTCAGATGTTTACTCATCATAGAACTTGTTAGAGGGAGCCACTAGTCACCACACCTGCTCTCGGTATCAGACCACATTTTCAATTTATAAGAACTTTATATTTCCAATATGATTAGTTAATATTTACTAAGTGTAGTTTCATAGCTTCACTCTTAACCAAATGTCTGGTTTAGTACAAGTGGTGCTAGGGCTTTTCACACTTAAGATTTTAAATAGTGGCCCTATAATTGATTTTGACAGATATCTCAATGTCAATCAAACTTGATTTTAAAGCTCTCAAAAGTAGATATATCGAATTTAAACAAGGATAAGTTAGGTTAGTCTGCTAGGCTAATGAGTCACTCATAAATCAGTGCTGCCCCGTGGTCCATTAGGAGTAGTAGTCCTTGTCTCTCTAGTGTCTTGCTTTTGCCTTTTCTGCGTTGTTGTCCCATACTGCAGGCGACTATCGTCATCAAACTGTTACCAGTGAGTATTTCAATCATGTTTTTGCAGTCCTTTCTATCGAGTGAAAGTCTGAATTTTGATCTACCGTTTTACACATGACCTTTGCATTTTTGCAATCAGGAAGATCAAACCGTCGCAGTTTAATCTTTTTGCCATGCTCTGACAGACAGTCCTATATCATTTGCGGCAATTTCGTTCTTTAGTTCAATGCATTCCATGCCTTTGTCGCGTAGCACTTTGTAGTTAATAGACGAGATATATGACCTGACAGGTCTAGTTTTTCATAAAATTGTCCACCACACTACTTCACCGTAGAGCAGAATTGATCTTACAATCGCTGTGTAGCACCAGTGCATGAGAGAGGGAGAAAACCCCCTGGTTATGCCGAGCAAATGCACTTTTCTCTTTCCTTCATTGTACTTCTCCAAAATTATTTGATGTGACCATTTAGAGAGAGATGTGCCTCATTTATCGAAGGGAGCTTCCATGGAGAAAAAATAAGCATTTGTAGATCTGTTTTCTCTGAATTCAATTGAATTGTATTGACTGTGGTGGTCATAATAATGCTAATGGGGAGTAGACACCATACCTTCTTAATAGGAAAATTCCGGCTGCATATGCCATTATCTTGGAGTTTAAAGCAAGATAAATTACTGAAACCAAGTTAGCCCTTTCCAATCTTCCTTGTATAAAACTAATTTCCTGCTCATCATAACTCCATTGTGCACTTTGATTAGTTAAAATTGTTTGAAGAAGATACTGTGCCCTTCGACTTTCTCTTCAATTCGTAGCGGTGTCTGAGGACAGTAATTCCCAACTGCATTTGCCTTTGTAAAAGTCTGTGATATAGAAAGTCTTTCGATTTCTCAGATGAATAAAGAGAAGACTTACCACAAGTTACGAGCGGGATATACAAACTGTGAAATGGATCAGTCACTTGAAAAGAAATACATATTTCTAACTCTATACATATAGTTATCGCTTGCACAAGTACTGTATAAATAACCTACAACACAACTGTATTTATCTACAAGATGCAACTTGTGAAGAGCCACTTTTGAATGTACCATTTGACATATGAATCTCTATATGTTCGGTTACTTAAATATTTAGTTGTCAATTTGTAAAGTTAATAATTCATGTGAACCCTAATGCGTTTGCACACATCCTATTTGCTCTTACATAAACTATGGATGTGGTCCATTATGGCAAATATGTAAATATGCACTCGCATTTGTTAGGCCCACTTGTGTAGCCGATGTGGTTGGCTTATCTCCAGTATTGATTATGAAACCCTTGTACTCACAAATGTGCATCAAATATTTACATACAGAAGACTTAGAGATGCATCGCATATAAATGGGCATTCAAAGGAAATCATATTTGGAGGCATACATATGTATGTGTATGTAAGTATGATACAGAGCTGTCAATCTAAATCTCAATAACGGCATATTCAAGCTAATAATCAGATCATAATAAATACAAGATTTTATCATGATTATTATGAGATAAATAAATGTCGAGTGATAATGGAAAGTGAAGCAATTGTGAAAATCATAAAAGCATGGGTATAAAAATTGTTATTGTAGCAGCATATGGCTTTTCCCAAATAGTTTTGGACAATGTAGTGTTAAGGAGTTAAAAGCCGTATTTATTCTAATTTATTCACACCTTTCGAGACTAGAACTTCAGGATAAAATATGGAAGGAACAGACTTCGCAGCAAAGAAATGCACTGCCTGAACTAAAATTTTCTACATATTTTGTAAGATTATATAAATTATCAATTTCATATTTCATCCCAACGAACAGTCATCTTAAAAATCGTATGTTAACAGTTCACCATCATTTGATTTTCAATGTGAAAATAATACTTCGGTCCAGAATTAAGTCAGTATAATTCCAAAGTATTTTTTGTAGTATTGAGAAAAGCAGTTGAATTGCTAACTCTAGGTTACAATTTTAAGGGTGTGTTCTGCCAAATCTACAAAAAGTTAGACCGCACAATAATAAGGAATAAGCCTCCTCAACTCCCACATAAGGTCTTATGGAGCCTATTGTGTAAAATATTCGAATTCGTTACCAAACTTCTATAATCTACTCCAGGAGAAAATAGTTCGAACTGCAGATCCGATGGTATTGGCATCATTGGCCTCAACAACCGCGCGTTCGAGGACAGGACGAAATACCTTTTTTCATAAAGTCGCACTCGCGACTTGGTTTCCACGTCAATGTGGATAACAATCGTTTTGATTTACGTGCGTACCTAACCTCACGGTGCTTCTTAAAAGCACATAGGTGAATCCTTTTTATTCACGTATTTTTTAGCTCCAATTGGTCGGTTGGAAGAGATACCTTTTCCAACTTGTTCGGAATCGAGGTCGATCTGAAACTTGTGAAATGCTATGGGTCCGGCAACCGGCCGCGCCACAAATCTCCCCAAAGGGCCAAATCCAACGAGCAAAGTGAAGCGAACTTTAAGGGCTAACTGCTCCCCGTGGTATCACACTCAAGTCTCCGGTCAGTTCTGGTAGCTTTTGCTACTACCAGCTGAGCATCCAACAAATTCAATGACTGCTGACATTGGTCGCTTGAACTTCAAATGTGTTATCATTTAAAGGAATCTCATTCAAAGTCTATAACAAATACTATGCTGAAATTTCTAGGCAAACTGAGAATACAGACAAAGTGCACATGGGGACTACGACAGGCGTACCTTACAGCGTCAAATTTTTGCCCCTTGCCTGCTGGGGGAGTCACTTTCGATAGGCAAAGCTTCGAAACCATAGAAAATGTCATCTATCTTGGAGCCAGCATTAACACCAATAAAAGTCACGAAATCCAACGCAGAATAACTCTTACCTACAGCTGCTACTTCGAACTGGGTAGGCAGTTGAGAATTAAAATCGTCTCTCGACGAACAAAGACCAAATACTATAAAGCACTTATAATTACCGTCCTGCTATATGGTGCAGAGCCATGGACGATGACAACATTTGATGAGACAGCGTTATGAGTGTTCGAGAGAAATATTTTATGCACATTGGCAACGGCGAATACCGCAGTCGATGAAACGAAATATACGACGCCATTGACAAAGTTCAGCGAATTAAGAGACTACGTTGGCTAGGGCATGTCATCCGAATGGATGAAAACACTCAATTATGAGGGTACTCGGCGCAGTACCCGTCGGGGGAGCAGAGAATGAGGAAGACATTCACTCAGTTGCAAAGACGAGTTGGAGAAGGACCTGGCTACATTTGGAATCTCTAAACAGGAACACTAATGCCGCCAGTAAAGAAGAGGGAAATATTGAATATTAGTTAAAAAACTATAAGGTTCATCTTGAAGTCTGCTTAACAATGCCAACTACGATTTTATTTTATATCGAAGTCCTAGTTGTCCATGTCTTTTAGTGGATATGAATAATAGGTATATTCCTTCGTTCGAATTAAACAAAAAAAAAAAATTAAATCTGATAATTTTCGACAAGTTCGATTTAAGCCAAGGACTTCTGTTTGTCAAACAATATTCTACTGACTGATTTGACGTGGTAGCTTGAGACACACATGTAACTTTTAATTTTGATCTAATGATATTTCATTTGAGCGCATATTGCTTGCAGCGTCCTTGCATATGTTAGTGTAACATTGCGTTGGTTTTGTGTTTGTTTCACGTAAAGTTTAAAATAATTATACGACTCATTTACCCACAGAATGTACGAGTATTGATATGTAGTAAAATATGTATGTATGTATATATTTTATGCTAGCAAATAATTTAAGAGCTAATTACGCTGTCATATTTGTAGTCTATTTTCAAAGTTAAACGTCAGAAATTTGAAAAACAAGAAAAACACGAAGTGTAGCTAAAAGAAAAGGTCAAAAGAACGTGCCCTCATTCAGTGCTTACTACAGAGCGTTCGTGACATTTTGATGCAGTTGCAACAATTATTGTTTAGATTAAACAGAGAATACTCTTTGTTTAGTAGGGACAAAAACGAAAGAGAAATCTATTGAGTAAAATTTTAAAAAGAAAATTGTTGAAATGCATTGTTGCGGCTGTGTGTGTGCGTGGAGTTGCGCAAGCCGTTTGCTGTGATGGTATTTTCCTTACTCTACCACTGTATGCAGCGGTGGCGCAATGGTGTAGTGTTTGATTCGTTCTGATATGGCTTAACAATGTATGCTTTACTTACTCCTCACCTGTCTTAAACTTCTGTTAATACTATTTACTGTTTTCGATTTTCGTTTTCTTCATTTTACTTTCTACATCTCCATCTTCACTAACGTCTTGGTCAAGATTTTTTTTATCGTTTGCGTTTCGGTCCTGGTGTGAATGTTTGTTTGTTTTGTGCTGCTTGTCCGGGTCGTCTCCGTCTACGTCTCTTTCGCTGCCGCAGTCATTGAAGTGCAGTGAATTTAAGGCATTGGGTAGTGATTTTGTTCGAAATCTTTCTGTCGTTCCAGCTGCGCCTTCTTTGTGGTCTCCAGCCGACGATCAGTGATAGCCACAAATGGCAATCGTTGCTTGCGTCCCGTATTACCGGTACCCACTTGTCGCGGTGACGCATCAATCACACGGTGATAGACAAACGAGCTAATGGTACGTCCCATAGCGGCATTACCTACTCCCCCTTCTGCGCCATCTGCATCATCACTACCAAAACCACTCGGCGTTGCCGCAACCGCAGTAGTTGTTGTGGCTGCCGAGTCGTCACCAATCATACCATCATCACCGTTGGCTCTGGGAGTCGTCGTCGTGGTTGAAGCGGCTACTGCTGCAGCGGTTAAGGTTTTATAAACACTCGGTTTGTAAGCACTGAAACGTGACAACGATTTGTGGTAACTGCCGCGTGTGCCAAGACCATCGATTCCGACGTTACCAGCAGCACTAACACCATTTTCACCGCCCAGGCCATATATATTGCCCCATTTGTTACCATGGAGCTCACTACTGGCTGGCGCTAAAAACGCTAGTTTGCCACGACTGCCGCCGCTCGGTGCGAATTGTGCGCTACGACTGCGCGGCTTGCCGATGAAACTGCCAGCGATGGCCGGATATGAGGGCAAACGAAAAATGGCTGCTTTTGGTGCGCTCGACACTATGGCGGCGTGCGCGGGGTTGGCTGTTGTTAATTTTTCGATTTGCCATCTCATTTGTGCGCTTCCTGCCAATTCGTTTGCATTCGATTTATTTTCGATTTCCTTTTGCCAAAAGTCAATGTCGCCATCGTCGGCAGCATAAGCGTCGATGTCTGTGTCGGCTGAAATGCTGACATCCTCGTCTGGCAGCTTGTTGTTTGATTGTGCTGCCGTTTTGTAGGTGCTGATTACATCTGACTTGCCGCTCACATTTGGGTTGGCGGAGATGGCCTCAGATTTTGTCAACACACCTGTTGTTTCCCCTGTCGTCTGGGTAGTAGCAATGTGCGTCAGTCGTTGTTGTGCAAATAAATCTTGATAGTGATGTCGGTCCTCCTTGCGGTTATTGTTGTTACTTGCACTAATGCTACTACTGTCAGCGCTGCTGATATCACGATTATGATAGCGCTTGCGTTTCTCCTTTAGGTAGTCGTCATCGATGCGTATTCTACCCGCAGTACTGCTACCGCCCGCGCTTCGACTACTTGCATGCGGTCCCGGCTGCAGTATTGAACTAGACCAACTGCGCCCCAAAGTAGGTGGAAGACGCGTCGGTGGCGGTAGAGTGCCTTCAAGCAAATTCAGTAATTGTTTATTGCGTCTGTTGTACTTCTTAATGTAGGGCGGCAAGTTAGCGTCTTCATCATGACTATTCTGCGCTTCCTCCAACTCGGCAGCGCTCTCATAATCATCGTCGTAGTCTTCTACGGTATCAGCCAAGTCGCTAGCACCGACATTGAGTTCTGGATAGAGTTCAGGGTGGTCCTCGCGGAAGTGTTCATCGTACAACTGAAACTGTACGCGTGCCAAGTGGGGCCACTTGGCGTAGTAGCGTTCCAGCTCCTCCAATTCTGTGATTTGATGGCCCAGTTGAAGCGCTCCCTGTTCCAGCCTTTCGTGCTCAGTTTGCTTTAGATGTTGTTTTGTATATGAAGGTGGTGGTATCGGTGTCTGCACCATGCCCAGCTCCACTGCCGCCTGTGTGTCTGAGGCGTGCGGCGAGGGTGGATCAAGTAGTTTTCGTTCACTGGAATCGGTTGGATGTTGTTGCTGGAGCTGTCTGTCGCTTGATTGATAATGTTTACTATTTTGATGATGCTTCTGATGATTACCGCTGCCACCTCTGTGTTGATGGGAGTCGTGGTGTTGTTGTCGATGCTGATATGGTGGTGTGTGCAGTCGATGATGGTGACTCCAATGTTTTCCGTGGTGTGTGTGATAATGTTGATGTTGTTTTGCGGCGTGTTGTCGCTGCAGGTGTTGATGATGCTGTTGCTCCTGCACATGCGGTAGTTGGCTGGCTGCTTTCTCGCGCTGCACTTTATCTTCGTTGCCGTAGACTTTAATGCCATTACGTAGTACCGGGCTTACACGTCGGTACCAGTTATTATTGTCCGCTGCTATCATGTGCTCCATGCTGAGTTCGTGCGCACGTAAACGTTCCTCGTCTTCTCTAGACAGCGCTACCTCAGCAGTAGTCGTGCCCTCTCCTTCGACGCCTGTTGGCTTGTAGCTTTTCATAGACGCTGCTTTAGTCTGCATGCCCTCGTCATCCCTCGTCTCTAGGTAATAGTTTACCTGCCCTTCGTAGAAATGATTTGTGTCTCCACCTGTGCGCCGTTCGCTGTTCGCTTTGCTTGTAGCCAACTTACCAGCGCTCTGATTGCCTACAACAAATATTGGTGATGCTGGTAATCCACGTGATTTTTCCGCTTCAATTTTCCTTGCATATTTTCTTAACGTTTCTGCATGTTTTTGCTCTCTGGCGTTAGCAACATTCTCTCTTGTTTGTTGTTGTTCCCGATAGTAATCGGTGTAGTTGTCATTTATCAACTGCGCCTGTGTCGAGTTGAGTGTGTGCTTAGCACTCATTTCAAATGCATTTCCCATAAGCGGCAATCCTGTCGACATGTACGGCGTTGCTGTTGTTGTTGCTGCGTCAATTGCTGTTGGCATTGCTTTAGCTGTCAAGGAGGCTATCGTTGCATGACGCAGGTAATCCTTATATTTTTTCTTGTACATTTTATGTCCGTAGCGCCGACTGTTCCGACGTTGCGCCTTGTACCGCTCAAAGGGCGAGATATGTGCTGCATGAAGCTCGCCAGCATCGGCCACTTTGCCTTCATTGCAACAGTGTTGATAATTTTTGTTGTTTGCAATTGGTTTTGTATGTGAGTGCATATTGTTTGCGTGGTCATCAGGTTGTAGAGAGGGCATGAGAAAAAGAGAAGAAGGAAGAAATCGTAAGCAATTTTGTTGTAAATATTTTGTAAATAAGAAAGTTGATAGCATTTATTTTTGTGTAGTTGTTGAGAACCATCGATTTTATTTACATCTTACTCACACTACTACATTCAGAAGCAAACAGAAGCATGTAATTTGAGATAAGCAATTCTTCTAATGATTTCCGCAACAACAACTTTACTTATTGCTTCTAATTTAGTAGTGTGTAATTTCCCTCTCAGTTTGGTAAACAAAAAAAAAACAAAAAACAAAAACAAAAAAAAAAAAAAATTACACGGATCCAAAACTATTGAATACGGTGGTTGATTGATGGTATTCATTACGTTCTTGCCTTTATAATCGGTCACAATCGTACTCTTTTTGAAAAAAATTCATCTTTTTCGGAACGAGTTGAACGGGTCCCATATCCAAAATATCAGCCAAAAACATTTGAACGGACTTGCGCTAGATGTCGTGTTCTCTTGCCATCTCTTTAACATTTGCCTTATGATTTTCAAGCACTATATTCTTCACTGTTTTTAATATCCGTCTCTGTGGAGCTAAAACCTCACACCAACAAAAACAAGGAAGGTTCGAGATCACTCGCCAACAACTCGGTATAAGGGAACTGTGGAACGGCCTTTCAAGCTTCTTACGTACAGCTGCAAACGAAACCGTTGCTTTTCGGAAAGTGCAAAAGAACAGCTGGTACGACGAGGAATGCTGTGCTGCAGCGGAGAGAAAACAGACTGCCTACCTCGCAAAGTTACGATCGACCACAACACGTGCGGGATGGAATAGATACCGAGAATTGAAGAGGGCAGTGAAACGCATTTGCAGACAGAAAAAGAGGGATGCCGAAATACGTGAGTATGAAGAGCTTGACAAGCTGGCCGACAGGAGTAATGCTCTTTTAGAACCCTCAGAGGTGATCTAGTGTCCGAAGTCCAGAGTATACTAAAATTATGAACGGAACTACTTCTGCCTGCTGAATTGCAGTGAAAGTATAACGACAAGAAAAGACGAAGAGGAAGACCTCTACTCCGTTGGAAAGACCAGGTGGAGAAGGACCTAGCTTCGCTTGGAATCTCCAATTGGCGCCACATTGTAAGCGTCTACGCCAGTAAAGAAAAAGAAGAATTGAAAACAGTCCTACCAACTTAGCAAAATACATTTGTTTGAAATATTATTTACTTGGGCAATTTTATTACACCTTCCGAGCAATAAATTGTCCCACCAAGGGAAAAAACGGTTGTTGTTTTTCGATTGGTATTATGAAAAATTAGGGGATATACATCTCGACATCTCAGGTTCCGACTGAATTCGTCAGCAGAAAAAGACGTGTGCAAAATTTTAGATCGATATTTGAAAAATTAGGGCATTATTTGATATATATTTAGATAGGTTGGCATGACTACGTTGGCTTAGCTCATCACCTGAATCATTTGCTTTCTATAGACACTTCAGAGGGTTATGTCTTTCCTTTGTGGGAAGCCAAATATTACGGAATTTCGCCTTTGTCGGGTTTCGTTTTTTATTATTAATTTATTTTATTAGTTTATTTTAGCATTAAAAAACGAAGTGCCGATTTTCAATCCTCTAAACTTAACCTTCTACCAACTCCAGGATCTCCCACGGAACCACAGGAGTGATAAGACTTTTAAGTCTCCTCTAGGGTGCGGACTGACGCTTAATTTGCTCAGCACTGACAGCTTTCCAGTTCTCAGTGCACTGACACATGAGTGTCGTCAAATTTTCCATCGTAAAACTCCCACGGAGTGTTTCGTTTTAAGTTTTCTCTTGTACTTAAAAAGCGTGGACAATAAAAAAAGTGAGGTTTGCCACCGCTGCTGCCATATTGTTAAGTTTTTGACTTGTACTCGTCAAACTGGATGAAAGTGGGCATCATGCTGACTACTGCTGCACCATCGCTTGATATTGTATGGAAAACACTGACGAGTCTTAGTTTTGGCTGTGAATGAATGTAGATTTCTACCTGACCAATAACCCATATTTTACTTATTGGCAAAGCCATTCAGCCAGGAATGGGCCTCATTGCTGAAGATGATTTTTTGATGAAAATGAAAGCAAAATATTACTCATGACTATGAGTCAGGTAGAGATCTAAACGTACCCCTTGAGTCCCCATTGAAAAAATCGTCGTCATTGGACCGTCCTTCTTCCGCGATGATCACGACCGGCACGCTAATGTGAATGGGAATAGCTACCGCTCAGTGGTTCTAACAGGACGGCACCACAAGCCACACAGCGAGTGTCACAGCCGATTTATTGAAAACCAAGTTTAGTAAACATACTACCTCACGAAATGGTCCAGTCCATTGGCCACCAGGACCAATTTTATTTTTCTTGGTTCAGATCATGTAGACTGCGGACCATTTCTCCCGATTCTCAACTTCCCTCTTCATACCTGTTGAAGAAGTGTTGAGTTTTCAATTTCACTTCATATTAATACTAAACTAATATTTAAAAAAATTTCGAGTGCAACCACTATAACCGCGTATGAGGTGTCTACGAGAATGAGGAAGGAGAAGAAAATATTTTCAAATATAATAAGTGAGCAGAAAAGGCTTAGCTCTATTCAGTCAGATATCTTAATATAAAATTACAAAATTCTGCAGTGGTAGATATTGACCCCGTAAATCGTACATTACTTCTCCAAAGACTGTGCTCTATTTTCTCAGGCATTTTCGCGTTTTAAACACCACACGCTTTCCACTGTGCTAATCAAACCACTCAGTTGAATTTCAATTGAGCGATACTAAAACAGACACAGCATGAGAAACAGTTGCGGTTTACACGCACGTCACGCTGTCAATCACCAAATCACATACCCGCCAACACTGCGTATGAGCAACCAGGCTCTGTAACTAACCGAACTGTAAGCTGTTGTAGCGCACAATAAGGTCACTGAAATGCGCCAATAATATGTGCATAAGCAGCTTTGTGTACGTGGAAAATGCGGCGACGTCTTAAGTGCGTTAACGGTCGTCATTTGGTATTCGAATGGGCCGAAATTTCTCTTCGCTATTGATCGGTTGATAGTGGTTGGAGAGGCAGATACACGGTGATGTGAATCATTTTGATGCGCTGCAAGGCGGCGAATTACATAATTCACATATAGGCACGTAGACCACAGTAGATGATGTGTCTTTACTTTTGGCTACATTGTCTGCATTGCTGATTGCCTGATGTGCTGCTGGTGTGCATCCCGCCGAATGGGCTCAAGCTTTCGCTGCGCACACGCCTTGTCTGTATGCCAACAAACGATTCCATATAGGACAGGAAGTGGTAATGGCAAACTGTGCCAATGTACTGGCGCAACGTGTCTGGTGTTCACAATCGCTCACAAAGGAATACTCATTGGCAGCATTTCAATTTGTAATATTTATTTTGTGTATTATTTTCACGCCGCTTTGTGGTGTTCTTGTGGCGCAGAGAAGTTCGCTACTTACATATAAATGTACTCGCAACAACATTCTGAGCGTTCTTTGAAAATACAAGTATAGATGGTTACTTTGTAGGTTTGTTAGTAAGTACGTTCTACATTAGCTACATTATTAATTACAATATATCCCTTAAAGGGCAAATTCTGATATGGAAGCAAATTAAATATTTGCTTGGGATATGTTTGATGTTGTCCGTTGACCGCTACAAGTTTACAATGATGAGGCCATTGAGATGCGAAAGTATAACTTTTACATTGTTTGTTTGTGGCATCAATTAAACGAAGCTCCAGGGGAAACAAGTATTATTTAATAAGTGGGCCATAAATGTAAGAGCAGAGTTGTAGGCTTGTGAATAATATTAGGAGTTATTAATTTTTATATCCTCGCAACATGCTGCATAGCGACTGTAATTATTGTATTATGCTTGTATATTATATTTTCTCCTTCATAAAATTCTGGTTACGCGTGATTTTCTGCTCTCATATTTATTCTACGAAGTGCGTTTTGTGTTGTTTACTCTTCTCGACCAAGAAATGTAACTAAATTTTAAACATTTTCGCGCGCATATTTTTTACAACTAAGTAATTGACTAAGTGGTCAACGTTTCTCGTAATCTGAAACCGTGGTCAGAGTGCATGTGGGAGAATATTTTCAGAAACAAAAACGCGGAATAACAGTAAGGCAGAATAGTCGTTTTCAATATTCTATGTGCTGGACGCGTTTTATATATTTATTTATTTTAAACTATTCATACATATAAAAAACCAGCAAGCAAGGGCTAAATTCGGTTGCATCTGAACATTCTCTCCCACACAGTGACCGACAAAGTCGACATACGATTTGTTAGAAAAAAGAAAACCATTATACGTTGTTTATGGGAATTGGTGTAGAATTGACCAGACTTTACTTACTTACTAATTATGCTACACTGACCATCATAAAAACCTTGGAGGTAAAATTTATTGCGTTTCTAGTAGTTTTTAATAGTGCGTTTTTATGGGAAGTGAGTGGGGTTATCTTCCGATTTCATACATTTTCACACTGTCAGTAGGAATTCTTATATTATTTGTTCTGAACGCATTTGGTTATTTTAGCTTTACTGAGTAAAGAGAAAATTATATTCAAGTTAATAGAGGAACGGGGCCACGGCTCCTTTTTTAAGCTTCTGCACACAGGTGCCCCTAGATATTGCGACCCCCTATGCCAAGTAATAGTTTTATATTTAATTTGGTGTTTGGTGATAGAACTTCATAGGTTTTCGGTTTATCGCGATTTGTGGGCGTGGCAGCTTCCGATTCTGAGAAGTGCCGCAAAACTAAACTGCAAATATATTATTATATTTAAATACAAATTGTACAATTGTGAAGAAGTGGTCTGGATAAATTATGGAGAAACTTTAAACGTAGATGAGAAGCCCGGAAGAATTTGGAATCACGTGACATGTGAGGACAAACAATTGTCCTTAAAGAGGGATTACATATATTTCCAAAGACTTGAAAGATCTCTCGTTAAAAGGAGTACTGTAATTGAACCCCTACATTTAAATAAGATCGCATTGGGTGTGGAAAACATCAACCGTGGTCAGTGGCGGATCCAGATAAGAATTTTAGGGGGACGGGGGCTTTGTGTAAGTAGCCAAAAGGAGAGAAAGAACTATTCACCAGCTTTCAAATTAAGAAAGTGATTAAAATAAACGTATTTATGAAGACAGGTTGAAAAATTTATGCTATCAACAAATATGCGTTCGTATCCAAAGTGACATCTCACTAGTTCATCAAATTTGAAGAATTAACGTTCATGGATGTGCCAGACAATTACTTAATAACATACAGAGATAATTTTTCTAAATTAAAGGAATCATTTTAAGACATAGAAATTTTATTTAATTTGAATAATCATTAGTGTCTCTATCAAAAAGTAAGACTATGCCACAAATCTTAACGTATCCATAGAGAACAAGTCATAGAGAGTTGTAATAACAAACTAGTTTATTGACATCATCATCGATCAATAAGAACCTGTGAATTATGCCGTGGAGTTTCTCAATTCATTCGAGCAAACAGGATACCCGGATGTTCGGCTTTGCTGTTCATTTGGCAATTTTCATGACAAGTCACAATTCGATGCAAAAACGTATCAAAATCCTCTTTCAAAGTCTCTTGGCTTCAATTCATACGACCTCCGATTTCTCTGCATTTGAGTGTATTCGATTGTTGATAAATGATTGATTGCCAAGAAGTTTTCGTGCTCTTTATGGGTTTGCTGAAAATCTTAATTGAGTAATGCTTCCAGTTTCTCATCTTCAAACTTTTCCGACTTCATCTATCAAATAAAAATCACCCCTTTTAAATCGAGAACACTACTTTGGCAGCTAGAGAATGTTCACCATAGATTTCCACCAAAATGCGTTGACTTTCGGTTGGTTTTTCCGCATATTAAAATAATGAAGAAAACCTCTTTCAGGGGTTCGACATATTTGAGTAAAATTATTGTTCTGAGTGCTTTAAGCAATTGATATATGCTGAGATAGACGCACGAGGACAGTACATATCCAACACATGTTTGCATGAAATAATAAGTTACGCCATCTTTTAGCAAACGGCACAAATTTTGTTATAGGGATACTAATATCATTCGGTCTGCCTGAGAAGCAGAACGCTCGAAAGCACGCGCAAGTATTGAGCTTCACATAGACGTGCAGCTTTTACGCTTTTACTGCAATGAGCATAATTACTTTGCCATTTACAACAAATATTTTGCATTAAAAGGCTCGTATTGCTTAGCGTCCTCGAAAAACAGCAATACTATGAGTAAATCAAAATAAAGTCCAAAGTTGCGCGAAAGCAGCGAACCGATAAGCCACAATGTTGTTCCTACAGATTTCATTTGGCAAATATTGCTTTCCAAATATTTTCCTAAATTTAACAAACTTTGGCTGAGAGCAACTTAAGGGCAACCGACAACTTCAACACGATCGCACATCAAACACTTGCAAAAACAATAAACCAACAAAGTGCTTAAATTCACACGCAAATGTACACACAAGCCCACACACGTGCCCACGCATACATATGTATATCACATACATTCGAGATTCGAGATATTTTATACTGTCTAAACATCCAAGGCAGCGGCATCTACACACCCAAACACTCCCACGTCTATTCATACGCTCGTACAACAATTGTTTTTTGCCAAAACCAAAGTCAACACTTACGCGTTAGCGATTGTTGTTGTTGCAACTGATTTCGTGTTGCATGCACAGCACCAAGTTGGGCCGCATCGTCGTTGTCAGCAGTTTTTGCAACAATGTCTGCTGTTTTGGCCGAGTTCCTAACGGTGTTCTCAAGCTCATCCGCATCTGCTTGCTCCTCGGCGAACGCCTTTTCGCGCTTCTTCGAGCTGTTTGTTAAGATGCCAAAWTAGGTTATTGAGTAATCGGCTTGTGGCTCTGCCACTGCTCCAACGCTGTCAGCAACTTTCACATGCCTGGGTTGGTTTTCAGACGTTTCAACTTTCTCTGCGTCCGACATTTGCGTGAACGTGCCTGCCTCATATTCGCCTTCGATGTGCGCGGGTTCGCCGTGGTGATGGCGCTTATAAGTGTGGCTGTTGTTGTTGTCATGGTTTCCACTTTTATTGTTTTTGCTAGCATGGTCGTTGGCACTGCTGCTGCTGGCTCTTTCATTGCGCTTGAATTTTTTAATTTGTCGATGATCTTCTTCTACATGCTTGCCGCTCATAGATGCTGGCCGCGCTTCTGACTTCCCCTCTCGGCTTTGCTTGGCAATCGATGACATTCGATGGCCGTGCTGCTCGCTTTGTAAGTGCTGCTGTAGTTGCTGCCCGGCGGCCTCTTCTTCATTACGAAACTTGTCCTCGATATCGCCGATCGCCGTTTCCTCCGGTTGATTATCGTCCGTGCAGTCCATTTCTGATTTATTGTTTACTTGTTTACTCATATTGTTGCCTTTATTTATAGCAGTGTTCTGGATGCTTTCGCTTTGCTCGTCAACAGCAGCTCCATTTACACCAGCATTTTCCGTTAAGTTGTTATTGTTGCTGTGCATATTGTTGTTCGCTTTGTCATCATTGTTTACCGTTTGTCCCGTTGCTTTATTAAATTTTTCTGCAACTAAGTTTTCAATAAATTGCTGATGCCGCCCGGTCACGTCCCGGCTCTGCTCTTCATAACTTCGTGCCTTCTCTGCTGCTATTAATTTGTGATTTTGTTGTCCTCTTGGATGTCGCGTCAATACAAAACTTTGCCTTGCTTCGGCCACACTGGGCAGCGCCAATGGCTCCTCAGCCGTGATGCCCGACGCATCCGCTTCGTCCATGGAAGCATCATCATTGTAGACAGCTGTGTTGTCACTGTCATATTTTCTGTCATCACTTTTGTTATTGTTATTGTTGTTTTTGCTGTTGTCTGCATTGTTTTTCAATTTGTTGTTTCGCTTTCTTACAGTTTTCCTTAGCTGTGCGCTTTTGTTGTTGTTGCTGTCATTGTTTTTATTGTTTCCATTGTTGTTGTCATGCTCGTAATATTCTTCTTTCTCACGACTGCTTTCTGAAGTGCTGAATTTTTGCGCTGCGAGTATCTGCATAAATTGAAAATAAGCGAAAGAAAAAGATAATTGAGTCAGCAAAGGAAATTTGATGTTATATCGGAAATTGAAATGAAATGAAAAATTGTAATATTTTAATAAGTTTTACGCAAAAATTACGGATTTGCGCCTTTCCGTTAAAACAATTAGTGTGAACGTTATTTTTAAGTTTTTTCCCTGGATGACATGATGGATGGCGGTATTGGAAGCTTGAAAAATTAATATACATCTGACACTATAACAGACTTTACCTCTGAAGTAAACTAATGGGGAAGCACCTGTCTTCAAAGTAACAGTCATGGGGCCGCCGACTTGTTATCTAACGGTACTTTTTGTAATTCAAGTTGTGAAGCGAAAGAATGTTAACCTATTTTCAAACCAACAATGAGAGAATTCAAAGGAACTCGGTTCGATCATTGGAGCTCGGTTTGTCATTTTAGTAAATAGTGATGATTGGACCCCTGCACTCTACTCTTACATGTTGTGAAAAGTTTGCTATAATTTTCGATTTAAACAAACCCAAATTAACAAGAAAAAGACCATTCCTTGATTCCCTGAGCTAAGTATGACAATGCTGTCATATATCTTAGTGCTCATCATTCCATCGACTAAAGTATTTGCTGTTGTCAATGCGCAAACATTTTATGCAGAACTTTTTTCTGGAAAAGTCGTAACGCCGACTCATCAGATGTTGTCGTTCCTGCCTCTGCACCATATAGCAGGACGGGGATGATGGTCATATTTGGTCTTTGTTCGACAAAAGATAACTGTACTTTTCAATTGTCTATACAGTCCGAATTAGCACCTGTTGGAAAGAGTTATTCTGTGTAGGATTTCGAGGTTGACAGTGTTGCTTGTGTTAATACTGGTTCCAAGGTAGACGAAATTATCTACGACTTCGAATTAATGGTTGTCAACAGTGACGTGGGAGCCAAGACGCGATAGCGATGACAGTTGCTTTGGCGACACGAGGTATTTGGTCTTGTATTAGTTCACTACCAGACCCTTTTGCTTCGCTTTTTGATCCAACCTTGAGAAAGTAGAACTAACGACACGATTGCCAATGATGTCGATGTCATCGGCGTACGCTCTTATAGAAGATCTCTAATCAGATCTGCAGCTCGAATTATTTTCTTTTCACCGGTCTTTTCCAAGATTTGGTGCATGGTATATCTGTACATCTGGTATATTGTTGATTTTCCATGCCTAAAGGCACATTCATAAAGTCCAATCAGTTTTTGCACGGTGGAGTTTAATCTTTCCACAGAAAGCTCGATAGAACCTTTTATGCGAAGCTTAGAAGACTTATCCCACTGTAGTTGGCGCAGATTGTGGGGTCTACTTTTTTTTGGATTGAACAGAGCATACTTAAATCGTCGAGTAAGCTTTCGTCCAACCATATTTTACTTCCTTAATCTTATAACCAGCAATTTGAAGTTCTTAAACTGTCGGCTATCCCTATCAACTGAATGCTAATATCAGCTTACTTGTAAATACTTTTTTTAACAGCTTATGTGAATGCCCATAAGGTTCATCCTTTTCGATGCTCATACCTGTAGTTGCAAAGAAATTTAATTTATTTGTAGAGCGTAGACAGAACTCACCATGCCTTTTTGTAACAAAAGAGATTTTACTTTCCAAACAATTAATATAAAATAAAATAGGCTTAAAATACTTTAGTCTAAAAATGACTGAAAATATTTCTTTGTTCTTTGACTTAATTATCACCCAGAGGATTTTATTTGATATAAGAAAATAATTTCTGCGCCATAATTACGAGGGGTTGGGGCTTACTTATAATGTGATTCTTTTAATTTGTTGGTCATACAACATGCTTTATGATTCGACACCTTGATCATAACAAATTGTTTGGCCCACATTATCTAAATTTTTCACTAACACTATATTTTGTAGCCCGTGCCTCTTACGAAATCCCCCAGAAAACGTGTTAATCAGACGGGTTAAAGAAGTTTTGAAAAATCGCCTGGCCCTTACTATACAAATGTAACTAGAGGACCCGTCCACGCTTCACTGTGGCTGATGCATAGCTACTACTACTACCATCTACATGATTTCTATAAGTTGGGTTATAACTATTAGTTAATAAGATATAGCAATTTTGTGAAGCAACTTGTGTTAGTTTATAAAAAAAATTTATTATAAAGCTATTCGTGTGCTAATAAAGCTCTAATTGATTTTTGTGGGAAAATACTGTTGAGTTTGGGCTCAGGGAAATCCACCCTTGAAAAGATATTTACTAAGCTTAAAGAGGCGAAAGCTCTGTGCAAAGTGGGTGCCTCGCAAGTTCATAATCCAACAAAAAAAATTAATAATTGATTCTTAGAAGTGTTTGAGCGCTGAAACCGAGCTATTGCGTCGGTAGACAGAAACATAGCTCCATCACTTCCCACTGTAGTATAATCGACATTCATTCTAGTGACTGCACATGATGAACCGGTTCTCAAGCGTGGAAAGACGAAAAGTCGCCTGGAAAGGTTATGACATCAATCTTTTGGGATGTACGTGGTATAATTCATACTCAAGGACAGATTACTGAGCCGTTTATCTGCGTATTTGGTTGCAGTTCTTTTCTACTATTTCAAATACTTAGCAATTGTATGTATAAACATGAATTTTGAACAAATGCTTATGATTTGAAATATTATTTTTGTATTCACAAGTTGCATTAAATTTTAACATAAGAGATAAAAAGTATCCTTTGTCCTTACCCTGGTTCTAAGCTGCCACCCCACCAATTTTCAGCCAAATCGGTTCAGCCGTTCTTGAGTTATAAATGGTGTAACTACCACGATTTTCATACATACTTATACATATATATATATATATATATACATTACCATTTTTCCAAAAATTTCCTTTTTCTTTTGTAGGCCAAATTACTTTTGAACCACCCTCGCATGTGTCTACATTGTGCATGCTTTGAGTTTTCTCGTTGTCCTTAAAGTCTTTCATCTTTTGATTTCGCTTTTTTGACTTTCTTAAGAACTCAAGAGCATCGCATTGTTTATATTTTGTATTGAATAGTTTGAATTTTTGGCATGAGCTCATAAATTCCTTTAGAAAAAGTTATTTTACCTCAGCCTCGCCTTGCACTCAACACGCATCGCATTTGTGTGCATTGTTATGCAACTTTTGCCCTTCAACCTACCACAGCTTCAGTACTTTGGGGCCTGGTGATGTTCGAAAACAACTGACTTCTAACTGACTGCTCTTCTTCCATGCACTTTACTTTCGTATTTTATTTAAGCTTTTTATTTCGAGTACTTTACGATTTGTTTTCTTTTGATAAACTTTTCATGGCTAAGAAGCTTATGTTAAACAATAGTTTGTTCCTAGCTGCAAGTGCACATTCGTGGTGGCAACCGAAACTTTGGATATGGTATACATATTCAGTGTAGTTTAGTATGGAGCTAAGCGCAACCGACATACAAAAACATAGAATTTAAGGAAAGCTTGAAATTTCTAAGCGGTGTGGGTTTGTAGGTTTGTTAATTCGGAAAGTTAGTGTAAGGACTGTACATGTTTAACATGAAGGTAAAGTGGAAGAGGCAAGAATCTCATTTCTGTACCATATATTATAATTGTATTGTAAGAAAACACAATATTGCAACCAATTGAGCATGAAAACGGAATTTTCCCATATTTATATCCCAGAGGAAGTATTGAGTAACATTATGGAGTTTGATCCGTTTACTTTTGTGTTAAATGTTTTATTTAAAATTAATTAAGCGATCACGAAACAAGGTTACTTCATTGGGAATTATAACATTAAACGAAAAGTATAAATACCCAAACAAATGACCGAATCCACAAATAAAGCTACTGCAACGCTGAACGAGGTGCTAAAATTTTATAAAAGTCAATTGATAACCACGCCCACCTTCATACAACGTTTATGTTGGTTATAGTCCGATAAGTAAATAAATAGACACGTCAGAGGCATTAAAGAAAAAACGAAAAAAATGGACAATAGGAGGGGTACCGCCCACCTTTAGGAAATATTCAACCAATTAGACCCAAATTTATTACATAACTTTATACCGATATAATTATCTTTCGTTAAAAATTTCGTGTAATTCTTTCACTTTATACATTATATTGTAATCTCACATCTTTTCAAACTTCCAGGTGCCAATATATTAATATCAATGCTAATGGCTAAATTTTTACGGAAAATATCGCTCAATAGGTGAGACATATCATTAAAATTCCTAAAGAATCTTCTCCCATGTGTCAAAAATGGATAAAATCAGGTAACACAAACCTACTGACACTTAAAACGCAATAACTTCTTTTCCAATCAATGAAATGTCATTCTCACTGGGCAATCGATAAAGATGGCAGCTTCTACCAGGGGGCGACAGATTCACAAAAAAAAAATCCTGTTTACTTTGGAACGCACCTTGCATACATTATATAAAGATTTTGGAATATTCAGTTATTTATTATAGCCCTACATCGATATTATATTAAATCGTTCCGCGAAATATCCCATTTCCATATACTTGTAAAATTATTTCATCAGGCTTTTTACCGAACTTGGCGGTCGTTATATGAATTATCTTCATAAAATTGCGAGGAGGCATTTGACGAGTATACTTGTATAAGTAGAAAGTTAATACAATCGGTCCAGATCTTTCCCTAGCCTCAATATATTAATAATTTCGTACTTTCGCCAGACTTTGTATCGTTTATGTTGTTTTCGTGTTATGTTGTTGTGAAATATTTTACTAAAACTAAAATAAAATATTTTCTTAAACGCAATGCTGAACTATTGGAGCCCTGCCCATCTACTTTGTGGAATATTTTGCTCGTGGTTTGCGGACTAACAACTTGGGTAAGAATTGAAGTCGAACCACAATCAAGAACGATGACCGTTCGATGAATGGGCTAAAAATGATATGGCTACTTATCCCGATTTTCACAAGAAAATTTTGTACAACTTACTTGGAATGAAGGTAAAACACAACGAATTCATCAGCCTCCGTAACATCCTAAAAAATTCACTTTTTTGGTGTGCTTTTTGGGTAGAGAATATATTAATGACCAATGATTTTTTCGTGCCTAAGTTGGAGAGTGTTGATGTGAACGAACTTTATTTCCAAAACATTGGTTTCAACAAGACTGCGCTGTATGCTGTACAGCCAACAAAACTATTAATCTGTTGAAAGAAACTTTTTGTGGGCGCATTATCTTGTGTCGTGGCCCTGGGCCGTGGGCTGCAAGATCATGCCATTTAACATGGATAAAGTGTTTCCTTTGAGATTTTGCACAGTCGTCCGAACAATTGATGACTTGGTAGAGAATATTAGGCAGGTTACATGCGGACCCAATTGAAGCAAAAAGTGGTCGAAAGTTGGGCTTCTCGCCTAGAATGTATTTGAGCCAGCCGCGACGAATATTTGCAATTTACTATTTTAAAATAGAATGGCCAACCCTAATTTTAAAATAAACTTTGAAGTAAAGCTAAATTCCTGGCTATGACATTAAAATAATATATTTGTTTTATTCCTTTTTTAAAAAACTAATATCTAACAAAAACACATGTTGTTTGTTTTCTTATGGTACGAAATCCTACCGACGAAAATTTGGCTGAGAGGACTTTAACAAATTGATCACTGGCAGTCTAACATATTTTCTTAGTGATTAAATACTTCTAATTTTTTTTAAATAGCTTCTGTATACGCCGGTAATTGCTCTAAAGTATAAGCACTGAGTTAAGAATGCCATTTGATTTCTTTTGAATATTTCTTTAAATTTACCTTCATTTTCTATGAGTTCTACATACATGTCATTGGCCAATAAATTAGTTGTATCCTGTTGCGGTTATTGTTCGACTTTTCTCCAATACATTGGTATCTTGATCCCTTTCAATTATACTTGAAGCAATGGGTGGGAGGGAGCTTCGGAAATTGCTTGCAGAACATACAATCGAGTGCTTGAAAAGGTTACAGAGAGCATTTTCTTGCTCTTCTCTAGCATTTTTGCAGTGGTTTGAACATGCGAGTACCTTCGATTCACTTAATGGTACTTGTAGCATGCATTAAACGTTTATGTTTTTGTGTTAGGTTTCGACCTTACTCTACTTACAATATCAGCTTCGGGTTCAACAGCCTCATCGCCATCACCATCTCCAACATATTGCATGCTGTCCGCATCAGTGGCATCGACATCTTGTATGTGTTGTTGGTCCAAAATATCCTCGGGTATAGCAGCTTCAGCTTGCATATTGAAATCTATAAGGCAAGAGGAAAAAATTGACAATATTTGAGACAAGTAAACTGTACGCAAGTGTGTTTGGGTAAATATGTATGTGGCTATTGAGCGAATACGTGGATAGGAGAAGCCAAACTGAAACCAAATCCGTTTTGTACGTGTAAGTGTGGTTTTTCACCGCTGTGAAAAATCTCGACCACACATACACAGTTCGTAAATACTAAGGTTTATAGTTTCTGCACCAACTTTATTATCAACATATAACGGCCACAAATGTCCGTAAAGTCAATAGCAAATAACCGCTTTGGTGTGTGAGTTGCATAGCTGTGTATTCAGCTCTGACCGATGCATATGAATTTTGTGGCATTCATCAAAGAACAAAGTTTGGCATAAAGAGAAAACTTACACGCTGAGCCAAGGCATGCAGTTTAAGTATTTATCAACACTGTTTAAAGGCTTACAAAATAAAAGTAGGTGAAAGCACCAACCTAATAGTGATATTAAGCGTTGGAGCTATAGAGCTACGGAATTTCCGGAAGGGATGGCTGTCAAACTAGCTGTCATAAAATGTATTTTTACATTTAGGCTTACTAGCGAGAAACCATATAATAAATTTTTAAAGGCAACAATGCACAAAATCATTACTAATCCATTATTTTACGAGACTTTTGCGATCGAATCTGAGCTCTGACCTAATTGAGGGTGTCAAATACTTAGGTAGCTTATGTCTTTTGTGTCCATTAAAGGGACCGTCAGGAAATCTAGAAGAGTTGGAAACCAATATTTAAAGCGATTTTTTAAATAAAATATTTAGGCATGTCCGTCTATCCGTGCGTATATGAACGTATGCGAATAAGCTCTTCAGTCTTTGAGAATTCTGTATTGTATAGCTCATTGAAGTAGCTTGTATAAAATTATTGCAATCTGTATATAGTTGAATATTATATTTACTTTATATCAGCTATTTGTTCGACTCTGCAATTTAAAAAGTTTGCTTATATTACACAGTGAGTTGCAGATGACATTTTTTAATTAACACACGCGCCGGAAGTTGTTAACCTACCGAATGCCTGTTTCCCTTTGAAATAATATGACTTTATGTACATTGTAATGATAAAAATGCAAAGGCGAGTTAATTAATAATGTATGCCTGGCAGTGCAAGTGATAACTGCCGTAAAAATTGGTACACCCAATAAAATTTCAATCAAACCTAATTTATGATTCCCAGAGAACGCAGCACCATGGGTGATATTGAAACCTCAATCCTTGTTTGAGCCTCCTCAATCAAATTGAAAGAAAATATTAACTGGAATTCTCAATATATTAAATTTCTTCTGAATGGCGCCATCAGATTTAATTTGATATACTTAAGTCAGAAATTCAAAATTCACTGCATAGAACTACTGGGAGCAGATTATACATTAAATATCTCAAATTTGAATATATCGTCACCTAAAATGCACAATAACGTACCATCAAAAAATTCCAAAAACCAGGGAAAGAGTAGCATTACTGTGAGCAAAGAGGTCACTAGGTCTCTTGCGATCGATCTTGTACCAAAAGGCTTTTGCGACAGCGCGTGCACCAATTGTGACTCAGCGCTGACCCAGTTTCCGTGCGACCCAGCTCTTCAGTAGTGGAACACAAGAAGATATGGGAGCACCGATCCGCTGCCTTTCTACCGGTAGTGTTTCCAGGGCGCCTTTTCTTTCTAGCTCATTAGCTTTACAGTTTCCTGCGATTCCGTTGTGGCCTGGCCGCCATACCAGTCTTGTCAATAAACACTCGATGCGATTGATACCGAGATTAGTTACTCATTGACCAGTTGATGTTAATGAGTTGAAGGTCACTTCTCTGAAGGAGCAGGTAGCTCCGGAGCAGTAAATCTACTGCTACCTTAATTGCTGCAACCTCGACCTGGAAGATAGGAGGATTTTTGAGTATTTAGACCCGTGCTTTTAGTAATTCAACAGCCTAATCTTTTGCACCCGCAAAGTTTAACGATACCCAAGAAGAAATGGCAAAATATGACCCAAAAGACCGTCATTACTTGTATGATAATATATCTTCTGAATACTTAATTACTTTTAATAAAAAATAGTTAAACACTATCTTTATTTTATGGCTTAAAATTATTTAATTTCTTTTATAATAAAAATAACATGAAATATGGAAACTTACAACTCTTTCATTGAAAATTAAAAAAAAAAAAAATATTAATATTAAAATTTTTAATTTGTATACAAATTTAGATCGATCATACGTTATTTTGTTGCAGAAATGAATATTCTTGAATTCTGGCTTATAAAATTAGCTTATTTTTTCTTTATTTTTTTATCTAAAAAATACTTAAAGTTTCATGTTAATTCAGATTTGCTAATTTTGTTTCAATATCTCAAGAGGTTTTCTTTTTATTCGGTTTTTTGCTTCTCCTGTCCACCTACTAAAAGTGTTGTTATGTTATTTTGCACTTCAGATGACGATATATCGATATAGAAATTTGACACATTCTTTAGAGTCATTAAGGGAATCATATGGTATATCGCCCTATATAATAGTATAGTATTATTTAAAAATAGAATTGAGAAGAATATGATTGTAACGATTTGCTTCTTACAAATTTTAAATAAATTGATTTATATTTACTAATAGCATCCATAAACCTATTATGAGTTTCTTGACCTTATATATCACATGGTGATCCATTTCGAGTTTCCCTACTTTGTTTAAAGAAAAAACACAAATTTAATGGTGAATGCTTATTATCATTTGAACGAACATTCCTTGGCTCTTAAACTTTGAAGATTATCGCTTTTAAGTGTCGGCCGCGGTCGCGTCTCAGATGGTCCATCCGTTGAGTCCAATTTTCAATGACTCATTTTAGCATTTCGAATGGTAACTGGGGAATTACACGCGTGATGTTTTACTCTCAGGCCTGAATCAAAGCGGGATTGTCCGCATATACTTTACACTTTACATATCCCCACAAGAAAAAGACGGTCCAATCGACCGACCCCAGACGTACAATTATATGCTCATCGAATTATCCTCTCAACGAATCCCTTGATTGACTTCCACAAGCTGTATTTTGTGCGCTTTCAATTTAAAATCTCGACGTAAAATACGCCAAGTCGATCAGGCCCGAATTGCTACGAACGACGCGGAATCAGTTTCCTAGGGTCTTCGTGTATGCTCTCAGCTGCGGTTGCTTTATTTTTTGCACTGTGTGCAGGACGTGGACAATTCGGTCAAATATTATCCAATAATAAAAGTTGGGTATCAAAGTGAATTTTCGTAATAAGGCTGAACGATTCGAAAACATTGTTCAGGCGTAAGTCTTTCGTCTATTAAATGCCAAATAATACTGAACAAAAATCACATTTTATTGAAAAAAATATCTGTGCTGGAGTCACCCTTTTTAACTATTAGCCAATATGTTCAACAAAATTTAACTTATCTATAGATTATAACAACAATGGTTTAGGATATACACACATACATATTGTATCGGTGAATGTATCTTAATAAAACTTGGTGCTCTCCTATGTCATTTCACGTGGCCGACCTTGCATCACTTATTTTCCTAGACCCTGGCTTAGAGTAATTTAGAACTAACTTCACCCTCAGATATCGCAAGATTTAAATAAGGATTTAATTATTAAACGCGTTTGAAGCTATTATACCAACTATCGTTGGTATGAATCAACCAGAAGTCGCGAGAAACTGTAACGAATTTACAAAAGTATGTGAATATTATAACCCATAAAACATAAAGCAAATTTCCGTGTTTTGGATTCGGAATGATCAATTGGTAGCAGGAGAGATATCTGAAAGAAGCCAAATGCATAAATATAATTAGTGTAAATAGGACGACTATTTTCATACCCTTGTGTATGTTTAAATATAACACCGCTTCCTACGCTAGCTTCGACGCATTCAAATTCTCAATACGTGTTATACAAAATATTTACATATTATTCGTGTAGTAGTTACTTTATATCTACTGTTCGAACCCAGTGTTGAAAGTAGTGACTCTCGGCAGACAAAATCAAACCACCAAGATTATGTCTTACATGAAAAGTATACTTTTACAGTCAGTCAATCATTCAAAGCACCTTAAAACATTAGCCGTAATTAATGGGACAAGCTTTTCATTATTGTTTGAATTAGAATAGGTTATGTAAATACTGGTAAGTACTGAAGAAGGTCGCTATCGTCGCTACTTTTGTCATATTATACTACATCACTAGTGATGGCAGATTTAATAAATAATTGATTACAATGTCACTGTGCTTTTTACACTGTTTTTAAATCACAAAATGTTGTTATTTTAAGTTGTTTTTTTATGTAAGTGCCATGTTTAGTAACATGTAACCTGATGGCGAGACACTTACCTTTATGCGTCGGTATCAAAGTCATATATTAACTGTTATCACCATATAACTGTAAATGGTAATAAGAAAGTTTTCGCTTAAATTGCGGTCTGGTCGACTACATAGAATCCAATTTTAATAAGTACCTTTGTAAATGAGTGCAAACGTAATGATAAAAGTGTATATACAAACCAACGAAATAACATCAAAGTTGGGCTCAATGTAGTTCCATTTGCAGACGTTTGCCATCGGCAGCAACACCCAATGCCCCAGCGCGCCGCAACTGTTCGAACAGCGCTCAAGGCAAACGTTACTGCGCTTATGGGTCCCATTCCCAGATATAATTATAGTAATTAAACTCTAGAGAAACCAAACGAAACCCGATGCTGCTGAAATGATGCCTCTGCTGTGCTGCATATATACATCTGTATATATATATATATATACATACTATATAGTTATGTATGTCAGTATATATATTTTACAAATTTTACATTTATATACATATTTTACACTTTTACTTGCACTTGTGTGTGTGCGCACTGTGCATCAGCGCGTAGTGGCTTTCGTCTGCACCGTCGCGGACTGTCAGTGGAAGTACTGAGGTTTGGCGCTTGACGGATTTGTGTGCCGACAGTGGACGCAG